AGAGACAGTATAAAGAGAGAACAGAAGGGGACCAAGAACAGATCCTTGGGGGACTCCAACTGAGACAGGGCAAGAGGATAAGGTGTCATTGCAAAAGGAGACACTAAACGAATGTTGGGAGAGATAGGATGAGAACCACGAGAGGACAGTGTCACAGAGGCGAAGGGATTGAAGAGTTTGGAGGAGGAGGATATCATCAACAGTATCAAAGGCAGCAGAGAGTTCAAGAAGAATTATTATGGAGTAGTGACCTTTGGATTTAGCTCTGATTAGGTCATTTGTAACTTTAATAAGAGCAGTCTCAGTAGAGTGGAGGGGGCGAAAGCTATATTGAAGTGGATCGAGGAAGGAGTTGGAATTTAGGAAGTGAGTCATATGAGTAAAGACAAGTCTTACTAGAAGTTTTGAGGAAAAAGGAAGCAGGGATAGTTGGAAGGGGAAGACAGGTCTAGGGATGGCTTTTTAGGATGGGTACGACAGTAGCATGCTTAAGTGGAGCAGGAACAACACTAGATGAAGGAGAGCGGTTTAGGATGTGTGTTAAAGATGGTACAAGACAAGGGGAGAGAGATCTGATAAGGTGGGAAGGTACTGGATCAAGCGGACAGGTGGTGGGACGAGAGGAGATGAGAAGCGAAGCCACCTCCTATTCTGTAGCTGGGGAGAAGGCCTGTAGGGTAGGGAAGGAATGGTCTATGTGTGGTTTCGAGAGGGAGGAGCAAAGGGGGGAGAAGTAGGATTGTTTAGCAAGGGTGAATACACCATATATCATAAAAATACATGGTGTATTCTATGTTGAATATGGAGAGTTACTCCCTTTTCATCTGTTCTAGTGCAGATTCTTTGGTGTCATTCTTTGTGTAACACCTGTACTACACCTGGTCTTGCATCCCCAAGCTGGACATCTCTAATCAGTGTTGCCAGTGTACCGGTGTTGGAACAAAATTCTGTCATGTCACTCCATTCCTATATTCCCTAGCCATCACTGGCTAGGTAGTTTCCATAGCAACCATAGCACCTGCACTGTGGTTGAAATAGGTGGACAGCAGGGGGATGTCCTGTGGAAGGTCTTTTCTGCTGTCCCTTATCATTCAATGCCGAGACACATCGAGGCATCAACTGACAGCTAAGAGAAAAAACTATTTTTAAATGTGTTTTTCTCCTAATCTATACATATGCTAGCAATACCACTAGCACAATGTATAGATAAAATCTTATGCTCAATCTAACGGGCCTAAGTTCTTTGGGGCATGATATGTCTTCTTTAAGTATTTTTTCAGGATATTAAAGGAACAATTTGGGTTAGGAACATAAACATGTATTCCTGTTAAAAACATCATCTAGCCTCCTCGGCCCCCACTTGCCTCCCTAAATATAGCAAACTTTTACCTTTAGACTAGTCTACAGCTGATGGCTCTGCTCTTGATCTGCCTGCTTGGCTGACATCAAAAATGGTGTTCCTTGCCAATCACAATGTTTTCACATAGGAAAGCATTGGATTGGCTGCACTTGTCAAGGAGGCAGATCAGGGCAGAGCCAGCACAAGTCAAAAACAGCCCTGTCCCTTTAAGAAAAACAAAAGGGTGGTACATTTTGTATCTAGTCAGTAGGATTTGTTTTAAATTTTTGCAGAGTCTTTTTGGTTATATACTCCATTCATTTTTAATTTCAATGAGTTGGTCTCTAACAATAACATTCCATTGTGGTAGTGTTATTTTTCTCAAGTTTTTCCAATATACCTTAACTTCCCTATGGTGTATAATTGCAAACATCTAAATATTTGATGTCAAACTGTTTAAAAGTTTTATACTTTGGCAAATATATATTTTATGTCTAGATTGATACTTTTTTTAGGGTTTGTTTATATTTTAATATACACATTGTAATTTATTTTAGCCATTATTCCTCCTTATCCCAGCAGAGCTTCTCCCTGAAGAATGTGGCTACCTCTGTTACTGCTAGTATTAGTGCTAATACTTCTGTATAGGTGGCACAGGCAGAGCCAGATACTGCAGAATATCTCAGATAAATATGTGCTGATCACTGGATGCGACACTGGATTTGGGAACCTGTTGGCAAAACAGCTAGATCAACTTGGACTGCTAGTCCTCGCAGCCTGTCTGACAGAGAAAGGGGCTGAGGGCCTAAAGAAGGAGACTTCTACCAGAGTACAGACAGTGATTCTGGATGTTTCTGATAATCAAAGTGTTAGCTCTGCAGCTGAATGGACAACTCGCATTGTTGGAGATTCAGGTAAATTGATATTCATATATGAAGACATGTAGATCTTCCATAAATGCTATATACCATCCCGAGTTTAGTTTAGGGAAGTAGTAAATATTTTTAATCCTGTTTATTGAATAAAGATGTAAGTAGCATGGTGAGTGATTGAGAGAATTATAAAGGATAGGGCGGGACAGAAAAGTATATCTAAGAGACACATTGGAAATACTGATATAGTAAGATTATCATTAGACAGGGTTAAATTGTAATACCTCCAGAATGGGCAGCAAAACATACCAATATTTTATGACTTGTTCCATTTTACATTAAAAAACAAAACAAATTGAATGGTTAAAAGGACACTAAAATCACCAAAACAACTTTAGCTAAATGAAGCAGTTTTGGTGTTTCACTGCTTAATTCTCTGCCATTCAGGAGTTAAATAACTTTTGTTTCTGTTTATGCAGCCCTAGCCACAGCTACTTTGAAAGTTTTTATCTGGTGCTCTGTAAAACTTACTTTATTTACACACTTTATTTAATGGCCGGTGCTTCCTATTGTCGCCTTGGGCGCTCCTCAGGAAGGCGGGCCGCCAGCCTCTCAAATGGTGCAGCCAGCTGAGCACTCTATATAGAGAAAAATAGTATAAATGGTGAGAGCACACACAAACAGTAAATTTCTTTACCCTTGTATTCAATTAAAATCCTGTAAATATAAAATCAGGAAAAAAACATAGGGTAATAACATCCAGATAAATTATAAATAATTTAGCAAACTCACATATTACTGAGCCACTTAAAAGCTGACTCAGACTAAGAACGTTGAATGGATAGGAAGTAGTGATTGCTGCAATCAAAAGCCAACTGTTTGCTTGTTCCTTCTTTAAAATGCCCAGGATGCAGGTTCTTTTTAAAAAGGTTTTATTGCAAGGTAAAAAAAAACAGCAGCAGAAATAGAAAACAGCAATCTCACTCTCCACACACTGACGCGTTTCAGTCGAAGCTTTTTTCAAAGTGTAAATCCATTCAGTTCAATCTTGTTTTAAATAGGAATCCTTTCGCGCCCTTTCCTGTTCAAGTTTTCTGTACCTCCCCTTCTCTCCCTACGTAACCGGCAACCGGGCATCCTAGCGTCTGTAGTTACCCCTTCACTTCTGCATTCGTAAGAGTGACGTAGGGGTATGGGAGGGGAATCTCTTCTACCAAAAAACTCTTTAGCGTTCGCAAAAGTCCTTCAATATAATATGCAGCATATATATAGCAACAAACAAGCATTGCAAATTTCTAACAATCAAGTGGATACATACGTTCACTCTATGTACCTAAAAAATTCAATAATATGTGCAACATACATATATCCATGATCTAACATTGCAACTTTCTAACAATCAAATTGATACATGTACTCACTCTATGTTAAAGAGTTAATAAAAATAATAATAAATTAATACATGTATTCACTCTGTATATAAAAAAAAATTCATAAAAATAAATTATAAAAACATTATGCTCTGCTAAAAGACAAGGTAGAGAAAAAGGAGATATATTAGAATAAATTCATACCATAAATATAGATGAAAATACTTCCAAATTCATTGTCATTTCTAATAATTTGAGAAAAGTGTATACATGCATAATTAATTTAATTAATAAAACTTAAATTAAAACAAATTGTGCAAATTCACAACCTAATAATATATAAATAAATAAATGAAATGTTTAGAGAATCATTTAAAATCGATAAAAATTAATAAACTTTTTTATTTAACTTAAAAGTCATTTAGAATTAGGATTAATAGACTCACTGGAAAATCTTATTTAAATATAGGTGTTTATCTCAAAATCGGCATTAAGCCCCCTTGGTACTGAGGAGATTGTCCTTATCTCCACCCCTCCAGTGAATTTTTATATGATCAATTGCAAAAAAATCTAAAAAGCTGGGATCCCTGTTATGATACTCCATGAAGTGTTTGGACACACTATAATTCGGGAATTTTCTTTGGATGTTGTATATATGCTCCCTGATACGTATTTTAAAGGGACGTGATGTTTTCCCTATATATTGTAATTCACATGGGGCATACCAGCATATATATAACATCTACAGTATTACATGTAATAAAATGTTTGATTTCATATTCCTTTTTTGAATTAAAATTTTAAAAATCTTATATTACTCCTACTTCTTGTTTTGCATCCTTTACAACTTTCACAGTAAAATAATCTCTTTTGTTCCTTATTTTATATTTACAGGATTTTAATTGAATACAAGGGTAAAGAAATTTACTGTTTATGTGTGCTCTCACCGTTTATACTATTTTTTTCACTGATTTTATGTGTGGTGGAGTGACCCCACAGGTGATTGTAGCACTCTAATCCATTGTATTTTAACCTAATATACGCACGTTTTTCTTTTTAATTGTTACGTATTTGTCACTGTTATATTGTGTGATCCTTGTCAACAGGTAGCACGGTCCTCTAGGGCAAAAACATGCACAGTCCTTTGCTTTGCATATAATCCAGTCACTTTATTGTTAAATCCACACAGGATACAGCAGTAAATTAAAACATAAATGTAACACAAAACCCTATAAACAAAAACCTAGCTCGGTCTGAGCACTAACTCACTTTGAACATCCCTCTCTATCAGGGTTAAACTAACAAAACATATGGCACCAACCTTATTAGTTAGCAACACTCTGCTGACTAGCCTGTTGAGTTCCTTTCCGCACTCCTAGTGCTCCAAGCCAGCCTTGCCCTGACTGCTTTCCTTTCTGCACTCCCAGTGCTCCAAGCCAGCCTTGCCCTGACTGCTTTCCTTTCTGCACTCCCAGTGCCTCCAAGCCAGCCTTGACTGCTTCCTTTCTGCACACGTACTTCCCCTGGGGTTAAAAGGCCTATCTGCCTTCACTTTATCACATATCCTCCCCCCCAGCTCAGACCCACCGGGTCGAGCGACCTTAGAACACAAACCATTAACAATCACGTCACCTAGGGCTGTACCAGCCCTGACTTGCTCCTCAGTTACAGGAAGTGGCCTATTGCAGATGGCTGCTACCTTGTTCCCTTGTAGTTTAAGGAACCCCCACCCAAGTGGATAACCCAAATAGTTAGCTGCCTCAAATCCTAGATAACACTTAGTGTTAGCGGTCAGACCGGCAGCCCTTACATTATTCACAACTAACTGGACCCTCATCAGGTGTGCTTCCAAGTCCACCCTGTGAATCGCCACATCACCAAGGTAGGCAGCTGCATTCTCTCTGTTGGGCCAAAGTATTCTATTCATATGCGGAAAGGGGGCTGGTGCACTATGCAACCTGAATGGCAGTACTTTATGTTGCCATAACCCCTTGGGAGTAGAAAACGCTGTCCTTCTCTTTGCTTTCTCTGTCAGGGGAACCTGCCAATACCTTATGACCAGGTCCAAGGTACTCCGAAACCTGGCCTTACTTATACGCTCTTGCGTTTGAGCTATATGTACTACAGGGTATTTAACTTTTACTACCTCTGTGACAAACTCTACCTCTGCCATGGGGTATGTGCGGGTGTCACCATGTGTACCCACAATATCGATCACTTGTCTTAAACCACATTTTTCTGGCTGGAGCAGAACACTTTTCAAAGAAGCCTCACTCCCTGAATTAATTAGTGCTTGTGCACTCTTCCCTACCACCATCACCACTTTTAGCTGTGCTATAACACCACCACCAGTCACCATACACATCTTTAAGCAAGTCAATACAATCCTATACAGATCCCTTATTACTATGTCACATTGTATTGTCTCTTCACCCTCAGGACAGCTATATGTAATATGTCCTTGCATGTGGCAGTTGAAGCAGTTTTTCTCAGTCTGGTCTCGTAGCCAAAGTGGGACTTTTAGGTATGTTCTACCATCATAGGTATATTGTCCCAGACTTTGTCCTTGCTTTCCAGTTTCCCCGCTTATCTGGTTGCTAGCGGATCTAGGCTGATGATCAGTACTGTGTGGCTCTTTAGTAGCCAAGTTCCTCTGAATCATCATCATCTGCTTCCACATCCACAGCAGCTTCTGGTTTGATAGTCTCTCAATGTCCGAGTTACTTTCAAACGCAAACTTTACAAAGGCTTTGCGTGTAACTAACTTTTCTATATCACTTATACGTCCAGTTCTTTCATAAGACGAATTTGCTGGGTGCTCAACCTCTTCAAGACCTGGTTCTGTCACCAGCTCATCCATCATCAGTTCTGCGAATTCCTGGGAGCCTTCTTTGCTCCCTACGGCTAATGCGGCAGGTCTCATCTCTATAGCCTCAGACGGTTGGCCAGGGAGGCTGTCTAGAGCACCCTCCTCCTGCATGAATGTAGTCTTTGATCCCAGCTCCATCCCATCATGCTCAGCCTGGACTGGTATGGAGCGCTGTTCTTCTGTCTGAGGCCCAGACTCCCGGCTTAGTTCATCTTTCCTTTGCCTGGTTTCCTCCCCAGGGTTATCCTCTGCTTGCTTGGCCTTGAGTGGCCACCTCTCAATGCCAGCAATGCTTGCCTCTGGGCTGTCTGGCGGTCTCCCTGCTCCCTCCAGAGACGCAGTCATGGCCTCTCGCTGAGTCATGACAGCCCCGGTATCAAACAGCCGGTCAGGTATTCCGAGTCCCGCCTTTAATTCCATGACTGTGTTCCCAGAATCTGGCAGCTGTTCCAGGTAGTCAGTGCGCCCGGGCCTTGCAGCAGTTGTGTTTGCCAGCAGATCCAGTTCTACAGCTTCCGGACAATCATTCAAAGTCTTTGTAACAATACCAGGTGTCTGAGAAAACGGTCCATAACAACCATCTCCACTATCTTGGTAGCAGGGTTGCGCTCTGGTTCCAACCATTTCTGGGCGAGCCTTAGCAATCCATACATCTGGGCTCTGGTGGGTTTACTCATATCATAAATCCAGTTGTGAAACCTTTGGGCCCTAATGGCAGGTGTTATGCCTATACGCTTTAGAATTTCTGCTTTGAGATGCTTATAATCTTGGGCCTGGTCTGAAGACAAATCTTCATAGGCTTTCTGGCACTCCCCACTCAGGCATGGAGCTAGAAGCCCCGCCCACTGGTCTGATGGCCACTTTTCCCGGGCAGCAACCCTCTCTGGTGAGGTAAGCTTCCACGTCATCTGCCTCTGTCATTTTATGCAGGAAGTCACTTGCTCGAATCCGGGGTCCCCTGTCCCCAAGGGGGTACCCTGCGCATGGCAATAACACCCTCTGCAAAACCTCAGTAAGGACAGCTCTATCCTCCTGCTGAGCGTCCCTTAGCTTCTCAATCTGCGCAGCCAATAAACGGTTTGTGTCTTGCTGTACACTAGTTGCCTCTTGTTGTGCAGTGGTTGCCTGTACCAGAGCCTTCAGCAGGTCCTCCATTATAGCACCTAGCAGGTAACAGTCTTAAAGGTACAGTGCTACTTTTTTTTTTTTTTTTTTAAACAGGTCTGCAAAAATAAAAAGTCCTCAAGCAGACTACTGAATGACTGGCACACCCACAGACCCTCAATTTGCTACTATGCCCGCATTCTCCACCATATTGTGATCCTTGTCACCAGGTAGCACGGTCCTCTAGGGCAAAAACATGCACAGTCCTTGTAATTGCATATACTCCAGGCACTTTATTTGCAAATCCACACAGGATACAGCAGTAAATTAAAACATAAATGTAACACAAAACCCTATAAACAAAAACCTAGCTCGGTCTGAGCACTAACTCACTTTGAACATCCCTCTCTATCAGGGTTAAACTAACAAAACATATGGCACCAACCTTATTAGTTAGCAACACTCTGCTGGCTAGCCTGTTGAGTTCCTTTCCGCACTCCTAGTGCTCCAAGCCAGCCTTGCCCTGACTGCTTTCCTTTCTGCACTCCCAGTGCTCCAAGCCAGCCTTGCCCTGACTGCTTTCCTTTCCGCACTCCCAGTGCCTCCAAGCCAGCCTTGACTGCTTCCTTCTGCACTCCCAGTGCTCCAAGCCAGCCTTGACTGCTTCCTTTCTGCACTCCCAGTGCCTAGTCTCCTTGACTCTATCTGGAGAGATCAGCCTCTCTCCTACCTGCTTCCTGGGAGGAAGCCAGCAATCCCTCCCCTTTACCTGTCTAGCAGGGAGGAGTTTATTCCCACTGCAACAGCTCATTAACTGCAGCTGAGCAGTGGGTTGGAGACGATCCATAAAACCCTGGCCTGGATCCATGTCTCCCCAGAAAACCACTAAACTGTGGAGTGGAGCATTGGCCCACCCTTCTCTCCAAATGCTCCACCCCAGGGGCCCATAACTAAACAAAGCTTTGTGTTGTGCAACACAGAAACTACACGTACTTCCCCTGGGGTCAAAAGGCCTATCTGCCTTCACTTTATCACAATTGGTTTTAATTCAATATGTCTATATCACAATTACGAAAAAGTTGGCATAAAAATATGGAATGTAAATTTGAGCTTAAATCTGATAAAATTAATGTAGAAAAATGTAATAACAATGATTTAGATACCATTTGTTACCAACTTGAAAAATTGTTGATAAAAGAGATGAAAATTAAGTGGGAAATTTTCATAATAGAAAAATATATAAGCCTACAGATCTCCCCGAGAGGTCTTAGGTTTCATAAATTACCCACTTTTGAGCAGGAAAATAAGATTTTTATGAATATTTGGAATGGAGCTCTGGAATCTTTTACTAAACACACAATGGGGATAATTATAGAGCAAAGAACCCTTACCCACTTGGAACTAGATGAGAGTATTAGTAAGATTCAAACTTAATTAGAACCTTTTTCTGGGATGGAAGAGTTGGAGGATCTAATTAATAAAATGATCAAAAAAATTCATGATATAGAGAGATGTGTGATTGAAATTAAAAAAAGAAAATTAATAAGAGATCAAGAGGATTATAAAAGTGGGAACATGGGGGCGTGGCCTGACAGCGCAACAAGTCGGACGCATGGGCTACTAGCTCCTCCGTGCATTGACCCTCCACAGCGATTAAACCAGCACTGTCTGTCCCAGAACAGCCTTAAAACCCTGCACTGACCTCACTACAGGACATGGCATCCAGGTCAGCGAAAAAAAGCAAGCACAAACAGACCTTACTGCAGGTCCGGGTGCTCACAGTCTCTGAACCATCAGCAGCCCCAGCCACAGACCTCTCAATTCACAAAATGCTGAAAGCAATGCAGGCCTCATTACAAGCTGACTTCTCCAAAATAGCGCGGGACATCAGAACAGATATCCAAGCACTAGGAGAGAGAACAACTCATCTTGAGGACAAGACTGAGGAACTCATATCAGCCCACAACACTGTAGCAGACGCTTACACTGACTTGAGAGACCGTCTAGAACAACTTACTGATAAAGTGGCGGACCATGAAGACAGGGACAGGCGCAGCAACATTCGCCTCCGTGGCATCCCAGAGGAAGTCATGCCCCAAGACCTCCAGGCGTATGCCATGCGTTTCTTCCAACACTTGGTCCCAGACCTCTCACAACAAGACTTCCTCATAGACCACATACATCGCTTACCAAAGCCAAGATTCCTCCCTGCATCAGCCCCAAGAGACACCATCGCAAAACTGCACTATTACACCTCCAAAGAGAAGATCATGAGAGCTTCCAGGCGCACCCTCGATCTGCCGGAGAAATTTAAAGGTGTCCACCTGTTCACAGATCTCTCTGCCTCCACGGTGTCGAAACGGAGGGAGCTTACTCCCAACACAAGAGCCCTGAGAGAGGCCAATATTCTATACAGGTGGGGTTTTCCAGCCCGCCTAATTGTTCGGCGGAACGGCACAGACCGACA